GCCAAGCCCACCATCCTACTACTACTACTACTACTACTACTACTACTACTACTACTACTGTATGGAACAGGAGACAATCGTGTTTTCCTCTATCTGTAAATGAAACTATGAATTTCTTCCTCAGATGCGCTGTGGTGACAATGCCTTGGAAATGGGGGTGATCATTGCCACCACTTGCCTATGCTGATAAAATCTATAAAAATCTATAAAAAGTGAAGGGGCGGGGAGAGAAGCCCCTGCTGGTGACTCATAGATTACAGTGTTTCTTAAATTTGGGTTTCCAGCTTCCGTTGGACCACAACCTCCCATCATCCCTGGCCCTTGGCTCTGCTAGCTAGGGATGATGGGAGTTGTAGTCCAACAGCAGCTGGGGACCCAAGTTTGAGAAACACTGAATTACTTATAACAATAAGTCACTGCTCAAAAAAGTGTTCCAGGCATCTTGATAATGTTTTCATGCCATTGTGTTTTCTTGCCCTGCCCACACCCTCACGAATGTGCCAAAAATATTCTCAAAAGAATGTTCAGCACAGTCCTAGGGTGAAAATGGATGTTTCATCTGATCTAGCAAGGCTCTTCTTGTGTTTTTATTTACTTTTCAATTGTCTATTTTGTTGTTACTTTGGACTTCAACACATATACTCATTTGGCTAGTGGATAAAATGGGAAATTGCTGCAAATACTTTACTGGCATATTTCCTTTAATCCTGTAAGCTATTCTCAGCATGGTATTTCACTTCATATCACCAGTATTCTGTCAGCACTAATGAGGCTCTCTTTAAAAAAACATAAAAAAGAACCAGAACAACAAATTCAGAGAACTGATGTTGGGAATACTCGGTAAATCCATTAGTGTTATATTATACCAGCTGCCCTAGACCAAGCTATTTTAAGTCCTAACCTGTCTGCTCATACATCTGTTGTTAACATAGGGTTGGTTTCAGATAACCTTTTCTTTTTCTTTTTCTTTTTTGGTGCCACAATATTTTTATCCTTCAATTTCCTAATGTTTAAACATGGAGCTGTACTTCAGAACAGGCACTTATTTGCCTCAAAAGTCACGATTGTGAAAAGGAGAACCCATCTGCTGGTTGGATCACGAGGCTCGGCAGAGGTGTTTGGAGAGTTTGACATGCAGGTGTCTGCTTGATGTGATGTCTACTGGTAGGGCAGTAGAGCCCAATGGAGAGGACAGGTGTGGTGCTTTGCCCACAGTGATGTGTGTCACTGAGATGCACAGAAATAGAACCCATGCAATAGACATGAGATCCTCTTTCTTGGATTTGATGAAGATCCAAACCTCTGAGCTGATCTTTTCTACTTGTTCTGGAGGAAGAGAAGTTGGGGCTCTGGAGGTGCCCAGCAGGGTTTTCAGGTAGACTAGCTGATTGTTTGGATTGGCTCTTCTTGAAGTTTACCAGGAACCTATAAGTCTGGAGGGTGTTGAGACTGAAAATTTTCTTGTCCCAGGTGGAAGATGTCCCCAGACAGCCTGCTTAATCTGTATAAGCATGGCTTCTATTGACTGAAAAGGTGGAGGAGAAAAATCAAAAGTGGTCTGAGGCAACAGGTGCCTTAGCAATAAAGAAAGGGGTCTCCCTGTGATTTCCCACCCCAGGGAATGCTTGCCACCAAGTCTTTTCTGGCTACCCGCTTATCTGTGTGGTATGAGGTAAGAACTTTCTTGCCTAGTGAAGGCAGAAATTGTAAATGCTGCTAGCAAGCTGATCTAACTCCCTTTTTTAATTTTGACAGGAAAAGACAAAGAGAGAAGGAACCGATGAAAAAACACCAGAGAAGGAGCTTGTGGACCAGCAGAACAGAGGAAGAGCAAGCTAATGAATTAAAAACAGCAATGTAAGAAGGGGCAAGACAAGGTATGTATATTAAAAACACCCAAGGAGAGAGCAAAGAATGGGACAAATGGAGATTTGGCTGCACTCAACAAAGGCATGAGCAAACTGAATTCTGGGAGCCCTGCATCCCCAAATGCTCCTAGCTGCCTTTGAGCTGTGGGCAGAGCCAAGACCCAATCTGCTGACCTTTCATTGCAGGTATGGGTAAATGGTAATTCTCATAACAAAAACCTTCTTTATACTTTCTGTTCAGATTTAACCATTTCATGGGATTATACAGGAGAGGCTCAAATGTGATTAAATACTCATGTGTGAAAATTTTGCAAGCCTGGTTAAATTGGAATCCAAGGGATTTAGATTCTCTGTTTCCTGTGATTAACTCTCTCTGGGGTTGCACTCAAGTTTTCAAATTCAGTGGTCTTGTGAGAGCAGATTTCATTCACTACAAAGCTAGGGATAGTTCAGTGGGGCCACTCCCTTTGTTCCTAATGAGCCGCCACCTTCACGGAATCGAACAGAATAGAATTTAAGAATACAAGAGCAGCTCCTCTGGATTAGATCGAAAGCCTATTAAGTCCAGCAACCCGTTTCATGTGGTGGTGGACAACAAGATTCCTCTGAGAAACCCAGAGACAATTCTTAAAGAAAATAACCCTCTGCTGTTGTTGTAGCCCAGCAATTTGGGGGAAGAGCTGTGGCTTAATAAAGCATCTGCTTTACATGCAGAAAATCCAAGATCTTCCCAAATTCTGGTGAGCTACTGCCAGTACCTGTAGACAATACTGAGCCAGATAGACCAATGGTGTAAGGCAGCATCCTACGTTTGAATGACATTCAGTGGCATACTACCTTTGAACATGGTGATACCATATAGCCACTATGACTTGTGGTCATTGATGGACCTAAACTCCATGTATTTGTCTAGTCCTCCTTTTAAAGCCATCTAACTTTGTCATATTCTTGTGGAAGTGACCTTCATACACTAATAAGAGAATATTCATTTACATCAAAGGAGCTCTGACACCCACAATAAAATATGTAAGTTTGACATCATTGATTTTAAGGGACATAAGCAAGATGATGATGATGATTAATGGTTTCAGGACTACATCCTCTATATGCAACTTGAATAATGTGTGAGGGGGGAAAGCATTGACGTAAGGTATTAAAGGAGACTTCAAGCATGTACTTTATTTATTTATTTTTTACAAAGCCTAATAGGTTTCCCATAATCTACAACGAGCTTCTCCACTTAGCTTCATGTATATAATTAATTGAGTGTTGGAAATGGATACACTGACTGCAAAATCTGATTCTCCAGGGTCACAATACAACTAAGTACATATTCCACTATAAATAGCATGAATGCAGTCACACTCAGCTGCACGACATTGTTGAAATCTCTGGTACGCAGTGGATTAACTTTGAGTCCCAGAAGTTTAGAGTTATATATGCACTCTCCTGCTACTTCAAGGACATTGTCAGTAGTAAAAGAAAAGCATATTAAGCTGCTGTCATAAGAATCAAAAATAATTACCAAATGATTAAAGACTAATTTTGGATTAATTCTACCTATTTATTTTGATTATGATTAAGTTCCAATTGCAAAATGTTTGTACTGAATAGTTCAAATAAAATGTGAGTAATTATTTAGCGGCTTTCCTCAATGAATATCTGTCGAATGTGTCTAATTGGGTTCATTAATTTCCATCTTTCCCTATGGATTTATGCAGCATAATGGCTGGTTTATGTAACATGGAACCTTTCTTGTAAATGTGTCACAGAAGCTATTTAGTTCAAATTCCTAACAGCCCCCATCTGTTTATATCAGATACAGCCCCAGTGAAATTCCGGTGGGTCGTAAGTTAAATTAACAATGTATTTCCTTTGAAGCAGTGTTTTCTTACACTTAAATAAATAGAATACATTGTGAAATTAACTTCTTGCAGCTATGTATGTATGTATGTATGTATGTATGTATGTATTTAACCCCTCCTTACACATTTATGGTCACAATAGAGCTTTAAAGTAACAAAATAATCTAGAACTTTTTGCCATACTCCATGTATTCTCTCAACATTACTATCTAATGTTTCACCCTCCATCCCTTTGAGTGTATTTCAATTTGAGGATTTCATTAAAAGGGTATGGGGATCATTTATAGATTGATTAAAGTGGAATAAGAGTGCATCCAACATATTGTAATTTAAATGAAAACTCTCATTTAGCAACCCAATAATTGCTTCATATTGATGTAGGAATTAAGATAAAGAAATGCTAATTATTCTGTTGTTGGTTTTTTTTTTTAAAAAAATCACATCTCCAGGAAGCTTGGAACTGCTGAATTTTTCTGTTGTGAACTGCCCTGCGACCTTTGGATTAAGAGTAGAAAACAAATTGTAACAACAACTACAACAACAGTGAAAAAATGACAGTATTGGGGATCTGTGAGACCACATAGGATTTATCCTTGTTAGTCATTTCAAATCCCAAAGTCCTTTTACTAGAACTGTGGTCACTGCCAAACATATCAACTGTAACTTAATTTGTGTATCTTATGCCAATACCGGATTAGTAAAGTGCCCCCCCCCAATGTAGGAAGGGGGTACTCTTGGGGGTACTCTGTCATGAGGTCCAAGTGCTTTTGTGTGGCAAGGCGTGTCTTTTACCAGCTATGGCTGGTTCATCAGTTACAGCCATTCCTGCATCAGAATAACATTCCACTGTAGTGCATGGTCCTGTATCCTCATGATTAGATTGTAACACACTCTGCATGATGCTTCCCTTGAGGATGGCCCGGAAACTGTGCCATAGTCTTTGGCAAAACCGCTGCCATGGACCAGTAAAGCACAAAAAGGAAGTCTTGTTTAAGGCTGCTTATTTCTTTGCAGTACTACGTGAAGGTGTGTCTGTTTGAGTATCTGAATCTATGATGTGCACAGTGAGGTTTGGGTACTAATTCCTCATGTTTGGATAAGTGAATTTTTCATATAAAGAGCATTTGGCTAGCGGGACCTAAGTGTATACAGTATTGTGTTAAAAGTCATCCTGTGATCACTTGTATGATGAAGGGCAATACACACAACTTCAATAAGGATCAGTTTGAGATAATTGGTATCATAGGGTAAAAAATGGCACACTTACTCTCTGTCGATGACAAGACACGTTACGGCTTCAGCAGCGATAACATTGGCTGTCCGAACATCTTCCCTGAAAGGACAATAATATGCATTTTACACAATTTGCCAACAGTCTCTACAGTAAAGTAAACAAATGAGAATTATGTTTTAGTGATTTATTATATTTTAAACCATTAAAAAAATAATGTCTTGTTTTGTTTTAAATCTTGAGGCTCTTTAGAAATGTTTCCAAAACAACATTATCATAAGAAGTCATTTTCTCAGCTGATAGGTTACTCAGTCATTTCTATGCCTTTTTACAAATTCATTTATCTTGATTATGGGTCTCTCTGACTTTGTGGTTCAGTATGAGAGAAATGAGCAACTAATTCAGCACCAAGGGCCACGCAAGAAGCATGAATATTTAACTGAGTGTTGTTATCATTATCTGCATGACATTTTTAAAGATGCCAAAAAAGTTCTTCAGAAGATCACATCCCAAACTAGATGAGATTGCTGCAGAATTGCGGCTTTAAAAGCAGGCCTATCCTCTTCAGGATTAAAATCTATTTATTTTATTTATTTATTTAGACTATTTAAAGGCCACTTTTACGAGTTGAAATCACTTAATACCACATGCAAATTAGCAGGTAAAATACAATTATTATGATAATAAAATAGAATACATTACAAAACTTCCCATAAACCTACATTACTAAAACCTGTGATAAGAAATACACCTTCAGCCCTAAGGCAAAACACAGCATTTTTGTAAGACCACTAAAGAACTAAAATGCAGCATCACAGAGAATCACACCTACACATGTGTGTGAAAACAATTAATTGGGTCTTCAAGGCTTTTCAGAGGAACCGAAATGCAGCAGCTTTGCTGGTAGTGAACTTCAAAGTCATTGGGCCACCACAGAGAAAGCCCTCACCTTTGCACCTGACAACAGGCGGTTGAGTTGCAATTTAAATAGTCAAATGTACTAAACCTCCCCTTCTGCTTGGGTTTCCCCTTACAGCTTTTAGTAAACCACCTTCTGGTACTGGACTGCCAGTTTGTGGGGGGGGGAGGGAGGGAGGGAGAGGGGGAGAGAGAGAGAGAGAGAGAGAGAGAGAATGAGATAGACTTCGGGTGATGGACTGCAGGGACAAAAGCAGTTGGCAGGGGCCCATTTACAGACCTCCAGTCTGCCACAGTCATGTAGTTTTGGGCCTTTATACCATCATTATTTTGAGCCAGTATTTACCATATAGCCCACAGCTAGGGATAAGGGGAGTTTTAATCCGGTGAAATCTGAAGAGTCATAGGTCCCTCACCCCTCAATATATACATATTGCAAACTCAGGGGGCAATACATAAGGTGCTAAAACTTTAGCAGGGCCTCTAAGGGTGGGAGTCACAATGGCCCAATGAAGATTGAGCATGATTAGTGGCAATAGAAAATATAGTGACTATTAAAGGAAGCGGGGGCACTGAACGGAACAGTCTTCTGGAAAAGAAAATGTCACACTACAACATTTCACTGTAGCTGCCACTTGTTATCCTCACATTTGGATTTTATATTGCACCTGCAACACCATCTCTGTAATGCTGTTTGAAGGCCATTTGCAATATTGCACTGATAGCTTATCAACACTTTCCTTAGAAGTACTGCTCAATCAAAAGGGGTTTTAGTACAGAAGAACTCTGTTCTCTTACTGATAAAAATGATACTTTTATATGATATACAAGTATACAAAGTGACTCTCAACTTTATAAATCAAAATCTGATATGAAGTTGGCAGTGTAATATGGCTCTTTAAAAAGGTATGCATTTAATAAAATTATGGTATCAGCAAACCTGCAGTAACACATCAATCCTGAGCCACTGCTTTCAAAGTTTTAGCTAATTGCAGAACACTCCATTTCTTCATTGCACTGTGTATGCACCTTTAATGCTGCCTTTTAGTTACCGTCACTGATGACACTATATGTATTGCCTAGTGAAAATTGATTTTTAGTGCCGAAGTACAAAGTGCAAAACACAGAATTTACACATGCCTTCTTTTTCTTTTTTAAAGTGCATTTCAGTACTGGCTATGAAGGCAGGGGTAGATCAGGAAGAAACAAATGTTACTTAATGTTTTCTTTAATGTAAAGAGTCACACACAATGAAAACAGTAACATAACAGAGCTTACTACAGTTTATTTTAGAAACTGAGCTCAAACTTTTAGAAAACTAGCAAAAAAGAGCCAAGTTTAATTACAATTTAGGAATACTAACCCAATTACATTAAGTCACATATCCGTCTGGCTATGGTGCTTAATATACCTCTAAGTTAATAACTGTTTGTTTACGTCAGTAGATTAAGATGTGAGAAATGATTCCAATTCCAAACATGCAGCAAGTTATTAATACTCCTTTCTATTAGTCTAATCCAAATGTTCATTATAATGCAGCACAGAGTAGACAATCACAGTGCCAACCCCGCTCCCCCCACCCCACAACCCACCAGCATAAAATCATTATGAAAATACAATCTGGTGAGCACTGACTCGCAGGTTTTTTCAACTTCTAGGCTGTATTCTTCATCACTACTTCCAGAGAGATAACCCTCATTCTCAGAGTCACTTTCACTGTCAGAGTAACCCATAGTTAAGAGCTTGCAGTTACCATTTTCCTCCTTGGGAAAACTACTGTTCCCTTCTATCCAATGACCCTACCTTGGGCTCTGGCACAGCTCAGGAATTTTACAGACCTTCCAGCTTAAAACCTTTTAGGCTTGGAAAAGGTCACAGCTGCTCTGGGAAGTATCTCCTGCAAGCAGGATGCAAAATGTAAGCAGAGCATATTGCTGAGCCACAAAGCAGCACAAAGTTCATCTACTTGAAGGCACCTCCTCTCATCATCCGCACTCTCTTAACAGCTCTGCTGCACTGAGACCTTCTGCCGCCAACAGATGTAGTGGCAAATGCTTTATACTAGCACACACTTAAACATGACACCTGTTAACCCACACAAGGGATCAAGCTAATCTGCATGCCAAAACTTTTTTTTAATTCTTATTTTATTGTCTAGCTCAGCAGTTTCCTACAGTTCCTTGTGAAGAACACATTCTGTTCTTCAGTATCAAAATGAAGCTGCTTGCTAAAATCAAAAGAAAACCCTTAAAGGTGGGTGGGGAGGAGCTTTATTCTGTTAATGATTCCTAGAATTGGTTCAAGATGCATAATAGTTTTATGACAGTGCTACTCATAAGTAAAACCCATTGATTGCAATGGAACCTAAGTGTGAATAAGATTGCAGCCCCAAACAGGCCACTAGAGCATATGACTATTAATTGAAATATTCTGGAGGAGAATAAATTTTCATGAATATTCATGCTAATAGTAATACTAAAAATAATAGTCCATAAATATAATTCAGATATATTTATCTCTTTCTAGTTATTTTAATGCATGTGTTAAGTGTTATTTGTAGGTTGCGGGTAAATGCAAACTTTCTGCTGTTGTATTCATTAACATCTGATTGTGAAAATCACCTGATATATGAAAAATGAAGGATAACAACTATTATTTGAAAAATTGAGGTTTAAATTATTGATCATTTGATTGTACTTCAAATGAGAAATGCAGAATATATGTTTTTAAAAATGAATGTCAAACACAGGTGTCATGTTTTACTGGGATCTTCACAAAGTACTATTACATCTGATTTCAGCATGGAAATCCTGCCTACAATCTCATGTACAGTTAAATGGGTTTAATCCTGTGGTGGATTGTGGCCAAAGTGTTTTACAATTCTTATCTATCTTCGCTTTGAGGTAGGATGAGTGATAATGACTTGTTCCAGGCTGCCCAGATAGTGTCATGACAATTTCAACATTAATCTCCTATGTCAAATGCTATCCACTTCACCACACTGCCTCCAGGCAAATATGAATGAGAAATACATATCTCCCACCAAAACCTATTGAAATAAATCCCTGTAGTTCCAAGTGTATGCCATTTCAAAAAAGGAGACCAGAGGTTCCTGGTTGAGGTTCCACATTTGACAGAATATCTCATGCCACTGTAAATTGAAGGGTGAAGAAGAATGCAAGCATTTATTTATTTTTAAAGGAAAGAAACAGGAGTCTGCACCTTGGCATAACTTCTATAAATGTAGGATTTTGACAGGGAAACCAGAACCTGTTAAACCTCTTTTGGCCAAGCTGCTATGAAAGCATTCCAAGAACTGGCCGTCATAATAAAAGACAGTTGTCTGCAATGGCTGCAAACTGCAAAAGCTGAGGATCTCATTGCTCAGTATCAAATGGAAGAGAAGTTGTGAAGGAAATGGATTTAATATTCATTATGCTTGAGTATATAATTTATGGCACCATATGCCATGTTTCCTAAATATTTTTTATTAATTGCCACTGAAACCCTGCTAAGTGTAGCTTTTCAAATGAACCCCTGATTAATACAGTCAAGCTATAGTTTTCTGCTGTACACAATCTGTGCTAAGCAGGTGGCTATGCTGAACTGACAGTATTAATTTTTTTCTTAATTCACCAAAGAAGATTCAGATTACAGAGCAGGCAGAAGAAAATTATATCAGCAGTGTGTAATTCATAGCCATCACTGAGTCCTGGAGATTAGATGCTTCTGAAATGTCCCCTTTATCATGATTTAGTCATGCACTTCTTTCTGATTTCTGTTAGCAGGTTCACGCTGTGAGATTCTTTTCTTTTACTCCCTTGCTAGCACCACAGAAGTTCTGGTGCCAAGACATATTATTCGTCTTAGCTTTATATGTTCTACTGTGGCTGCATCCTCTTGTGACTGGCATCTCCCCCCACCAATCCGGTACACCTCTGTCTATGCCCGTGCATGTGTGTGATCTTGGCATGCATAAGTTTGGGAGCAACATGGAACACCACCCTTATGACTATAATTCAGGGGTAGGGAACCCTTTTCAGCCTGAGGGCTGCATTTCATCAGAGGCAACATTATGGGGGCCAAATGCCAGGGATAAGTGTGGCAACGGATGCAATTCTTATCTCTGTACAGTAGGCTGAAGTCCAACCACGAAAAATTCCACCGTTTCTACACATGCATAT